TTGCGCAGGGATGAGGTCTCCTCGGCTAGCCAGGCGCCCAGGATCCTCACGGAGGCAAACACAAAGGGCTCCTTCTGCTTCTCCGACCCCACCTGTTGCCACAGGACCCCCTTGAGATTGGGCAGGACCAAAGACCCTCCATTTGGGTAGTCTGATGGCAAGCTTAGAAATGACACAAGTTGGAGGGAGTTCTAACCTATGTGCCATGCAGAAGCAGGCATCAAGCCTTGTTCTGCCCTGTAAACCCAACACCTAATGCATGGGAGACACCCAACCAGGACCCAGCCTGGAAGATAGCCTCAGTTCATGTCTGTGGGGAGAGCTTGTCACCAGATGGCATACCTCATACCTGCTGGGACACAAATCTTATCTTAACACCATATACTCCACCTCTACTTTATTTCAAGGCAAGGACACTCATCTATAATGGTAAGTAAATACTCATCTATCTTACTTCAGACATAGAGTGGGAAGACAGACCTCTGGCTAATATGAAAACACTCCCAATGGTAGGAGGAAATGCCCCCTTTTGGGGGTGAATTAGAAAAGGCAATGAGAGTTTGGCATGGGGTATGGACTCTATGGGTGGTGAATTCAGTGTAACAGGCCAATGAAGTAAAAACAGAATCCCTGTGGGACAAGAGAGCTGAACCCTTATACAGGGAGGGAGAAGGAGGTGGGGGAAGGGGTATCAAAGAGCTGAACCTGTACAGAGGTGAGAAACCAGACGCCCTTGCTTGCTTTCCCTGCATCATTATGAGCCTGTATGCGTGTCTATGTAAAACAATGCTACAGATCAAGAGAGTAGACTGCTTCTAGTGTGTGTGTGTGCTGGGGAGAGGTGTGTGTCATGCATAGTGTGTACTGGGGGGAGGGCTGTTGTGTGGGTGGGAGGTTACTGTGTTGTGTGTGTGTACTGTGATGCGAGTGCACATATGGTGTGTGGTACAGTGCTTGTGTGGAGGCTCTGGGAGGAGGGAGGGAGGAAGCTGAGGGAGGCTGGCCACACACTACTCCCTAGAGTGCCTGCTGCAGCATCACCCAGGGTAGACAGGCATCTTCCCTGTTTCCTACCACCCTAGGAGGTGGGAGTTTCATTCTGGTTCATGCACTGGCTCCCCCTACCCTGGGATCCCTCTAGGGACCAAGATACCCTTACCTGCTGCAGGTAGTGAATGACAGCCCCAATGGCCTCCTTCATGATGCTTACGAGCTGTACCTTCTGGGGCTCCTTAAGCAAGGATTGCTCGCAGCGTGTGCACTCCTGGATGCCCAACTCCATGAGTGCATAGCAGGCGGTCACTACATCCTCTTTCACCTCTGAGCCTGTCTCCTCCAGTGCCAGCCGCACCTCCACGCAAGCCAGGTTCACCAGCAGGGCCAGGAACTTGCTCCCTGAGTTGCCCACTGGGATCCAGTCAGAGCCGCAGGCGTGTGCCAGGCGGGCTGCCAGCTTCAGTGCAGGATTACGCTGCCAGGAGCTCAGCTTGCTGCCCAGGATGCGTGCCAGCCCAGCCTGCAGATCCCGGAGGCATTCAGGGGGCACGGTTGTTGGGGGCAGAAAGAGGGGCAGCAGCTGGCAGAGCTCAAACTTGCTGGCATCTTCAGCTTTCTGGAAATCCTCGCTGAGGCCTCGCAACACGGCCAGCAGGTCGGGCTCTGCCTCTTTCCAGCACTGGGTCTCAGCAGCAGCCAGCAGCCCCACCAGGAGTGCCAGGGCCTGGTCAAAGCCATAGCCATGCCCCAGGTATGCCTGACATAGGGCAGACACAGTGCCACCAGCAATGAGGTGCCGGGGCCCACGAGGTGTGCCTGCCACAGCCGTTAGGCACTGGTAGGTGTCATCAATCATGGAGCGGCGGGCAGCATCGTCAGGGTCTCCTCGGGCTGTGAGGAAAGTGCTAAGGATGGGAATCTTGTTCAGGACTTGGGGATGGGCGGCCAGCTCAGGGTCACTGCAGAAGCAGGCCAGCAAGGCCACACCCAGGGCACGCAGAACGTGGTCAGGGCAACCATCTGGTGCCTCCTTGGAGGTCAGGAGGCGATTGGGGAAGGTAAAGCCCACAGCATCGAAGATCCGTCGCCGAGTTTTGGCATCAATATCACCTGCTTTGACTGCTTTGGTTACCTAGGGAGGGAATGTATTATCAATACGATGAAAAAAAGAGATGGCCAACATTTTCCCTTCCCTGAGGTGCTGAGGACTAGCAAAATTTGGTTATGCAATGGGCCTGACTCTGGGTCAGGAAGCCTTCCAGAGATCATCTTATCCAGTTTCTTCTTCCCAGAGGCAGAGAGGGATAGCTTCTGGAATCTCTTTTCATTTTTAATCACCTCTATGCAAGGGAGGTCTAGTCCTCCTTGACCACTCATTTTTGGTGCCTCACCACCTGGTTAGTTGGGAGGATATTCCTGATGCCTAACTGGGAGATGCCCCAAAGCCAGTCTTAGAAGGAGCTCAGTATTTAAAATCCCCCAAGGATTTAGGGTCCTCCCTAATTGCTCCCTCTAGAGAAGTCTTGATCCATTCCTGCCACCTTCTCAGGGGAAATGGCTCCTGTCTCGCCACTCTGCTGTCAAAACATTTCCCCTTACATTTCACCTAAACACCTCCTCTGCTGCAGTGTGAGCCCTTGACTCTGGAGCCTTCTCCCTGTTGCCATGGCAAACAAGCAGCGGCTGTTCTCCCTCCTCCCTCCCCCCCATACACCACAACTCCCCCCCTTCCGAGTACTGCAGCTTCTGCTGTCCCCAGCTTGGGTTCCCACAACAAGACTAAGCCCCAAACCAGCTTCTCTTATCTCAACTTACCTATTGCCACCCTGGCTATCCTTTTGGGTCCCATCTCAGTAACTTCCAGTCCTGGTACTCTCTCCATTCCCAGAAGAGCCATCCCATTCCTCAAATACTCTGCACTAGTTACTACCTGCTGCTGTTATTCTATATGAGTCAGCTCCCATCTGCTCTGGGACACCCCAGAAAGCAACCCAGGCAGCCTCTTCCATGGCCCTTGGGGTCACAACCCCTTCTTTTCTTCTCTCTCCTTTACTCTCATTCTCGTGGGAGAAAACTATCAAGATGAATAGGGTCTTGGACCCTCTTTGGTGTCTCCAGGGTCCCAGCACCACCTATATATCCTTGGGGACTCACTGACCCCATTCTTTACGGAGCCCAACTACCCAGCCCTTCCCACCTCCCAGTATTCACCCAGTTCCTTACTAGCAGCAGGGCTGCAAACTGCTCACTGTCATTCTTGGCCTCACGGAGGGCTCCCAGGTAGCGCTCCAGGGTGGGGTTTCGGCCCTCTGCCTGGTTCAAAGCTGGCTCACAATCCGAGGCCATGGTGCCCGCCTTGCCCAACTGTGAACACAAGAGGGACTGAGCATCCCTCTGCAGAGGAGGGGCGGGGGCGGGGGCGGAGGCGGGGCGGGGGCAGGAGTAGAGGTTGGTGGGAGGGATTAGCACAGAGGGAAAGAGAATCGGGGAGGTGGGGTACTCAGCGCTGACCTCCCTGAGAGGAGCCTCTTTAAGGGGCTGAAAATTCTTAGGGACAGGAAGAGACCCAGGTCCAAGGTCACCTCCAGAAAGCGGGAAAGAAGGATCATGCATCTTATCGCTTAGCTGGACAGTTTTCCTAACCAATCTCTTGGAGTTAGGAGACTGGCTCCTCTCACTGACACCCAAAGTCTGATTATATCTCCCTTCGCCAATGTACATAAGGGAGGGTGTGGTAAGGACAGACAGGGAGGAATGAAGACATACATGGGTGAAGTTCGATTATCCGGACTCAGGTTAACAAGGGGGGGAAAAGGCATCCTAAGCTTTCTTCCTTGTCTTCTTCAAGAGAAGGCAGGGGTTAAGCTTCAGAAGAAGTTAGCATGCAGGGTGCAGGAAGGCTTGGGGGCTGCTCCTCTGGGACCCAACCCCTACAGCCAGGGCTCTCAGACGCCCCCGCAGACTCCTTGCCTCCTCTCCTCTCCCTCCCTCGGGCAGAGGCTGCAGCAGCAGCAGAAGCAGCAGCAGAATTAACCCCTTGTGCTCCCTCTCCTCTCCCTCCTCATCCTACTACCAGCTGTGGATGCTGGCAAGAGGCTGGCGAAGCAGGAAAGGGTCCCGGGTAGCTCCCAGGGCAACGGAGAATCCAAAAGCCGGATAATCGAAGCAGGGCTGCTGAGATGGGGAGATGAGAAGGGGAAGAGGGTTCCTGGCGGTCACCACCTGTCCCGCCGCAGCCAGGTCACAACACGACATTGATGATGTCACGACAGGGCAGCGATGAGATCACACTTCACGATGGCGCGGTGATGTCACGGAGAGATCACGGCAAAATCACGACATGGGACAGCCCTCCAAGATGACAGGGCAAATTAAAAATATATATATATCGAAAAGGGCTGTGACAAAATGGAGTCTCGACAGGGCACGATGATGTCGCGATATGGCGCGATGGAGTCGCGATAGGGCCCCCAGGGTGTGTCGTATCGATCAGCGCCCGTTCGGAGAGTTCCCGGCTGGGATGCAAGGGAGGGCCTGAAGGGGGCTGGGCTCACCAGGCTGAGGCCCCGCGAGGCGAAGTCTTGTCCAAGAGCGATGCTCCGGGAGCCTGGGGCCGCTACTGGGGCCGCTGCTCACGCCGCGTTGCCCACTCCCGACTCTAGGCTGCCGCAGCTCCACCTCCACCCCCGCATCACTCTTGCCCAATCTACGTCGACTTCACTTCACGCTGTGGCCAATGGCGTGGCTGGGCGCTAAGCCGTAGGGGGTGCTGCCGTTGCTGCCATTTTCCTTGTGGGTATTGCCCAACACTTGGACCTCATGTTCTTGCAGGGAAAGCAAAAGTGCAGATTACCTCTGGAGAACCAGACGCAAAAGTCTAAGGACCCAGATTCTTTCGCATGGGCATAGTGCTACCTTCCCAGCCCCTCCTCCCTTTCAGGCTCGCGACTAGGATTGCGCTTCCGGAGGAAGGCGGGCTTACTTTGGATGAAAGAATGTGTTTCCGGGTTGAGCCTGGGGAGGTGGGAGGAGGCGATGTTTCCGGCGGTCGTCGGTGTCCTAGGAGGCTGAGGCGAGAGGTAGCTGTCCGGGTGGGAAGCCCGCGCTACCTTCTTCCTCTTCCTCTTCCTCTGGGTGAGGGGAGCGAAGGTTGGGGCCCCGACCCCATGGACCGGGAGGAGGCGGAGGCCGCCGAGAGTCGGGGCCCCGCTGTGTGGTCCTGAGCCCCGGTAGGTGGCCGGGGGCAGCTGGCTGCCAGGCCGAGGACCATGAGCTCAGGGGAGGGGCGCGCGGGATGTTCGATTCTACGGGTGCGTAGCCTGGGTGTTGTGACCCGGAGATGGAGCTCGGCCAGGTTAGCCAGCTGTTTCTGGCCTTGAAGGTGTGGAGCTCGGGTCCCATGCAGAACTCCTCTGCTTTTGGATTCTGGCCTGTTATGTATGCATCTCCTTCTATCACCTGACAGTTTGATAGACCGGACTCGGGGAGCTCCAACCCTTCTCCTACTCCACCTCTACAGTCTCGCCCTTTCACTGTTCTCTCTGGTGTATGGTCTCCCCACCGGCAAAGAAACTTGATGCCTTATAAGGGGGGCGGGGTTGAGCACAATGTGTGAATTATGGTAGACCTGCGTTATTTAGGATTTCGAAGATTATACCCTAGAAAAGGGTCCTCTGTTGGCTGCAGTGAGTCAAAAAAGAAAACCTTAGGCGAGATTTCAGGAAAGTGTTGCAATCTTTCACTTCATAGTGTTCGTGCACAACTGACAATAAATGCAGTTAGTGAAGAGCATTAGCAGATTCTCCTTGTGCTTTATGTGATTAACAGACTGGAAACTAGGAACAAATTGGAAAGACGACCTCCCAGAACAATCTGTTCATTTTTCCAGCTATTTAGAAAACAGTGTCTGCAAATATAAGCAAAGCTATTCATGGCAGTCTGTTCTGTAACTTTCCTAAATATCTGAGACTTTTAAAAAGAGCTTTATTCTTATTACTCATACCAGTTGAATAGGCTCTTTCAGACGTACTTTGTCGTTATTCAAACATATCTTATCGCTGTGTACATAAATGGAGTTCCACGTATGTAGCTGACAGACTGAACTATGATACATCCCCCATCAACCTGAAGTATTAAGTAAACATTACCCCCTGCTCTGTCTGAACAGCTGCTGCAACAGAGAGTGCTTTTATTTCGGGTGTACTTGTAACGCCCTAAATGCCAGAACTATTGCAAGCTTTTCTTGATTTTCATTTGTGAAGTATTGTGGGGGTGTGTGTTCCCTCCCTGGGTTGTTACCCTTTGATTCTATAACAAACCATTTAGATCTTGATGATGTGTTCTGTTGTTCCTGCCACTGGTCAGCAAACCTTTCACTGGACGCTAGAGTCATTTTTGTCCTTGACAATTGTAGGTTTCAGAGGAATGACTGGTTTGGAGTTCAAATGAAATTAGCTCTGCCTCTCTCCTATGCATGTTTTGTAAAACACAGTGCTTCAAGTCAGCTTGCTAGCCCAATAGTGTGTTATTACTCCTGTTTTGAAACCTATTCATTTCTTTTATGCTTCTTTCGCCTACCTCTCAGGCTATTGATGACAGGTGTTGAGTCACCTTGAATTTAAAATCCTTTTGTGGCAGGCAGAATTATGTTGGATTAGATCAGTACACACACACACACACACACATACACCCATGCACAGTCACCCATTCCAGCTTGAAAAAGCTAGAGAAGTTGCTAGATGTACTTTATAACTTAGGTTTCATAGCAGAATCTCTTAAATATGTTTCTAGCCCACACACCTCCTTTGTATCCCCTGCTCTTTAACGCAACTACAAAACAACCAGAAATAGGAATGAACAGAAGTAAGCAAGAAACATGCAATCCTTTAGATGAAGCCATATCATGGATGGGCTACACCTTAGTTTTGCTACTCTTTGTATATGCTGTTATTAATCACTCATATCCAACCCAGACAATGTCAATCAGTCTCCCTATATGCTGGCTAGGAGGTGAAGATGGTGTAGGGTTGCCAGCTTGTGCCATTTGCCAGGTGTACCTGACAGGTGCACATTTAGGACAGAAGATTTTTGAACTACTTCTTAAGAACACAGTCAGCTCTCATACTGTTGCCAAGATTTACATAATTATGCAGTATAATGAAGTTGTATAAGAGAGAAAAAATTGATGGGAAACCTTTTTATTTTATTCCTGCTAGAAAGGGCCCAAGTCATATAGCCACTGAATTCTAGAAGTAGCCTAGTATACAGCCTGTCATGTAATTGGGCTGCGTAAATTTGTTAAGTGTATATATGAATTTAAGCCAGGCATTGCAAATGATTAGGGACCAGGAGGGAACTTGGAAGTGTCAAAAAATAATTAAGGAAAAAAGATAGTAGTAGGGACAGAGAGTGGCATGTCTTAGCTAAACATAATCACAACTTAAAAATTACTTTCTAAGTCTGATAACAGATCAGTTGCCCTTTGATGGACCAACCTCCTTGCTGATTGTATGTTTGACTAAAGTCACAAAGCTGGTAGTATCAAAACTGAAACTCAAATTTTTCTTTTAGGCTAGTGCTTTTTTTTGTTCTTCCACAAAGATGTTTCATTCCTAGATTAGCAAATAATGGAATATATATAAGTATTTCAAGTTAATAATAGATTCATTTCATATCCCTTGCTATGCTATTATAGGCTGTGTCAAAGTTTAGGTTTAAAATTTATGGACCCGGATGAGCAGTGAAAGAGACTTGAGATTTTTCTTCCTTTAATATGTCATATTTGTTAGCATTCCATATTTTCAGGAATTAATTATTAATTACTTGGCTTTTAACTGCCCCTCTTTCTTTTTAGTGTACTGGTTCTGCCTATCTGGAACACCATGGGGAAGAGACTGGGAGTCAAGCCAAGCCCTGCTTCCTGGATTTTATCAAGAGATTGTTGGCAGACACCCGTGAGGTGGTTGAGAAGCCTGTACCTGCTTTATATCGTTTTCTGCTTCAATGTTCTGTCACTTTCAACAGGTACCATTTCTCTATAGAGAAACAAGGGTAAAAAAAAAAATGTTTATTTTAAAGACTTTCTGCAAGTCTTTTCTCTCTTGTCACTTTGTCACTTCTTTGACATTCTTTTCAGAGTATCAGGGTATGAGAAAACAACCATTTGATAAAGATTTCTGAGCATGCTGCCATTCTGGAAGAAAAACAGTCTGGTAAATGATAGAGGCAGTCATTACTTTGGTGGACACTTAGTTTGTTGGTATTTATTTGTATGTTTTTCTTTGGAACCAAGTACTAAGTTGCATTCTTTATCATAAGAACTGCCTTGTTCATTTTGAGATTTGGTAGTGGTATAATGAAAAGAAAAAGATTTCAGAGTTGGGCAGACCTGAGTCCTAGAACTTGATATGTTATTTTGTAACTATAAACCTTGCACAGGTTACCTGAAATTTCTGAGAAAAGTTCCATCTCTGTTTTCCTGAAGCAATAGAGAAAGAGAGAGTGAAGAAGAAAATGAGGAGACAGAATGTATGGCTAATTGCCACCATGAACAACTGCTTCCTTTGCCATGAAACCATGAAACTGGATAGTGCCCAGCTACCATTACTGAACATTTTAATCAAAGATTATACTGAAGAATCCTGATAAAAATGAGTCCAATGCATCACAGAATTTCAAATTGACTGGAGAAATTCTGGAACGATAGAGGCTAGATGAATTCCTGAATAATTGATCTGAAATAATTTTTAAATAAACCTTAAGCCAAAACTATCTCCTGAACTCATCTTAAAATCAAACAGTAGTTTAGCTTAGCTAGGAAAAAAAAATGCTTTGAGCATTATTCTCTTTTGAGGATTAAATTGTCAATAGCAACTTAAAAGATTAGCTTGGAAGAATAATGAGTATGTTAATTGGGGGCAGCAGCTTGGAGAAAGAGGATGAAAACAGTTGCACCTCAAAGAATGTTACTGAATTGTACATACAGAAACTATTGAATTGGTTTCTCAATTAAAACAGCAAAATAAAAAAATTCTGAGGAAGGATAGCACCTACCTCATAGTTTGATTTATGGAATAATGGAAAGGACTTTTTTTTTTTTTTTAAGGGTTTCAAATGTAGTTTATTTCTTCAATAATGTCGTATTTTAATGAGTACATAGTTCTTTTACTTGACATCAACTATGAGTTGGTTTTGAAACAATTCAGTATTATACCATCAGCTATTTGATTACTGATCTCTCCATACCATACCTTTTGAGTGACTCTGCCAGTAGGAATGGAAAGGACTCTTGATGGTACAGAGTATTAAACATTGATGGTACAGAGTATTAAACATTGACCTGCTAGTTGATAGATTGGTATTTCAAACCTATCAGCTATTTTGTAGGAGAAAGATGAGGTGGTTTACCCCAATAAAAATTTATAGCATGGGCAGATATACTGTATTCAGTAGGGTTGCTGTGAGTATCTCCATGACACTGGGTTTAGTGCAACACTCTTAGTTGATAGTATGTTGCTCTAGCTTTCTTTTCCATTTCATTCATTTCTTTTCTATTTGAAATTTACATTTCAGGACAAGATGCTCCTTAGTTTTTCCATGGAGAAGAGCTATGCTGGTAGATTTCATAAGATGTGCTTTCATCCTAACAGTTTATTTCACCAGACTAGAGCCACTTGCCAGGAAACCATGCCAAGAAGGCTAAATTTCAAAGAATATATTTTCTTTGTTCCTGTCAGTTCTTTTGTTAACATTGTTCATTTCAGAGTTTTGTAGTGTGAGAAAACAGCAGTTTGAGAAAGGCTATTGTGTATATGCTGCTATTCTGGGCAACGACCAAAAGCCTTCTGCTGTAGAGATCACTGTTGAGGCTAGTAATCAGACCTTTGCTCCTATACATGCAGGTTTCAGGGTTATTTTGTTGATTTCTTTAGAGAGAATTGTGGTCATGATCTTGAAAATCAGGTAATCACTGTATTTTGCAATTATGGTAACATCAGCTTTGGTGTTTGTGTTGTTCTGCAGTGGTGGTTGATGATTGCATAATTATAGCAGTTGGAATTGCAGTTGACAGAAAGCTGACCTAAATATTTTTACCCCAGATGATGTTTTGCTAGGACAGCTGACTATTTCAGGCCAACATTTTATGTAAGATCATTTGAATTAAATAAGTAACTGACTTACACTCGAGTCAGAAATCACATTTTTTGTAGTGTACTTACTAAGCTCCTAGCTATGAACATAACATACTTTATCTTTTTTAATCCTCAAAATAATCCTAAAACACGTAGTTTTATTCTCATTTTATAGATGAGGAAATTGAGGTCCAGAGAGGCAAAATGACTTGACCAAAGTCTCACAGCAAGAACATGGCAAAGCAAGATTCTGAAGTCAGGCTTGTCAGCTATCGAGCTCTTGCTGCATCTTCTGCTTTTCTCCCTTCTAATCCCAAGAGATCTTTTGGAGGATGAATGACATTATAAGCAACTTGTGATTTGAAGGATTCAAAGTGTAGGAGAATTAGACTCAAGTCCAAGTCTTTCTAATGTTTTCCAATCTAGTACTTAATTAAGCATAGTGTTGTGGGTTTGTTGGATTTCACTAGGCTTGTGAGTCCCACAGGCTAATCTTTATTATCCCTTGAACTTGATGCTTAAAAATATTACACTGGTGGTAGAATTGATAATAAAGGTGCAAAGGTTTTGGTGATAGAAATTCTAATAGGGATTAGATTGTACCAGTTTTGTCTCAGAAAAGTTTGGAGTTTTTACCATGCAAGTAGGGGATCACAAACCACGTCCTTCAGACTGAGGGAACATGGAAGCAACAATCAAACTGAGGGAACATGAAAGCAACAAATGACAAACATGGATTTTGTATGCATTATTTCATATTAAGTCTTTCAATTTTTTAAAGCCATACCCTAATAGAAAATAATGGATAAAGAACATGAATAGATAGTTCTAGAAATTGAAATAAAAATTGTCAGCGTATTTAAAGTCTTCATTTTCCTATTAACCAATATTTGTAGATTAAAGTGGGGAATTCTGTTTAATCTGTTATATGTTTGCTAGAGTGATGTGGTTGTCCTCATACAGTGTTCATTAGATTGAACAGAAGGAGTCCTGGTGATATAGTGGATTGAATGTTGAACTGCTTACTGAAAGGTGGGTGGTTCAAATCCACCAACTGTTCTTTAGGAGAAAGATGAGGCAGTCTGCTGGTGTTAAGATTTAACAGTCTTGGAAATCAGATAGGATAATTCTGCTTTGACCTATAGGCTCATCATGAGTTGTCATTGATTTGACACAGCAGTGAGTTTAGTTTGGTTTTTAGTTTGAACAGAGAGCCTTTGGGCACAAATATGGAGTGCTTTAAGAGTCCATATTCAGGGAGCTCTGGTGGCCTAATGGCAAGAAGCTGCCCTGCAATCCCAGAGGCGCATGGTTCAAATCCACCAGATGCTCTGATGAAGAAGGAGTGGCAATCTCCTCCTGTACCAGTGTACCAGTCAGATTAGATTTGACGGTACACACACAAAAAATAATAAAAAGGTAAAAAAAAAAAAAGAGTCCATATTCTTTGACTTCGTAATTCCTCTAGAAATTTACCTCGAGGATAGTTGTGGAATAGAGTGCTTATCAGCTTGCCCAACAGTAAAAGGTTGGTGAAATGATACATGTTCACATGTGAAATATTATCCAGTTTCATAATTCATATTTTTAGAAGATTAAGTACATGGGGAAATGTGTTTAATGTTAAGTGATGAAAAAGTATACACAACTGTCTGTTTGCTATAGTGCCAATTTTGTGAAGAGAAAAAAAAATTTTACCTGACAGAAAGTGGTCTAAAAATTAGTAGTAAATGGTTGCTTATATGATTTTTTAGTAATAGAGTTATTTTTGCTTTATACTATTCTGTGTTTTCTGGATCTGTTTCAGTACCCATGGGTAATTTTTCGTTCTTGGTGTTTTTTTTTTCTTTTTTTTCAAAGGGGGAAATAACTCTATAGCTAGGGGAAAAAAACTAGTTACTAAGCCTTGTGAGTGCTTTCCTGAGTCAGTATTTTTCCTACACCTGTGAATTTGTTCTGTTTTTTACTGGAGTTCTTAAGTTTTTTGCTGATGGAATACACATCTGATTGTTTGCTGTTGTTTAGCTCATGGATTATATCTGAAAGGTGAATCAAAATTAAGACAGCTCTGCATGTTGTGGATTTCTTTTTTTGTTCTGCTTTTGGGTTCAGTGCTGAAATCTGCTTGAAAACAGTGATTATAATTTGTCTGGTAAAAAAATGTTCCACCTTTTCCATGTGTGAAACTGAATCACTATTTTGTTTAATTTTACTTTCAATGCTTTAAAAAATATCATTTTGGGCCTGAGGATTTATCAACATCTGGGGACACATAAGGGAGATCTGATCCCTAATGAGTTGTGCTCTCTGCCTGAAGGTGTCTGGTTCAAATTCCACTAGCTGTTCCATGAGAGAAAGATGGCAGTCTCCCATGTGATTTACAGGCCTCTGAAAACCTGTTGGAGGATGAGTTATAAATTGTTTCTGACTTGATGGCAATGAATTGTTGTTGGGGATAAATGTGAGTTGACCCTAAGACTTTAGAAATTAGAAACTTAACGGCTTCTTGGAGCAGATATTTTCCTTTCTTACTTAACTCTAGATATCCCAGCATGTACACTGTAAACGCACTATAAGAATATTTGTTGACTGAATAAATTACTGAATTAGTAACAAATTGTTCTTTGAGAATTCAACTTTAAACTCAGCTGTATATCACTTAGGAGTTAAACTTGAAAAATCAACATCAAAACAGAAATTTGTAGAGACACTTGAAAGAGACGTTGTCTTTGAGACACGTTCAGCAATATTGTTAAATATATTAAGAATATGTCTATTTGTCACCAATGGGCCAATTGGCAACATCATGATAGATGTTGAAGAGATTGAGATTGTTAACAGCTTAGTTTGCTTGGCTCCACAATCAACACTCTTGGTACCAGAAGCCAGGAA